CACAAGAACATGAGCTGTCTTGCCAGCATAAAAGAGGTGAGAAGAGAACCAAGAACTAGGCACTGGGATGTGATGGAGGCATCCCCCATTGGCTTGAAGTGTTTGTGGAACCACAACCTGAGTTAACAGGTCTCAGATTGCATTAAGACGTCTGTCCCTGCAGACATGCTAAACACAGTCTTCATTAGTATGTAACCAAAGATCCTAGCACGAGAACTGCTTAATCGAAAGCTTTCCCCCTCATATGTATCCTCACACAGTAGGATGGCTGAGGACACGTGGCTGTCACTGAGATTAGATAATGGGCAGTAAAAGGGAAGAAGTGTCTAGAGGAGGGGTAGAGTCAGAGGACAGAAAAGTAGTGAGAAATCTGCAGTCAAGCAGCAGTGGCCTGTGGTTAACTCTCAGGGAGAAACCCCCTCACTCCCAGTGAGGAGTAACTGATGCTATACAGCTCCCAGATGCCTGGGTTCATACTCAAAGACTCTCACAATAGCTTTAGTCCCCAGCCACCTCCCCGCTCCCTTCTCAGACGGCATTTTGCACCTCCCTAGTGTAAGAATTGTTGCTCCTTTAATACTTAAATGAAAACAGCAATATAATGATAATGTTTATGTTTACTTGCCTCCATTTCCTTTTCTGTTTTGTTCAGTTTTCTAGGAGCATGTCCATTTCCAACAGTATCTGTGAGACTTAACAAGGAACATACTATTAATATAGGCAAAGCTTTCCGCATCTACCTTTTATCTTTCTGTTAAGGATAGATAAAATAACAAATTAATTTTACTCAGTGTTAGGCACTTCCAATCAGTCCTCAGAGGACCAATGGAAAGCTAGTTGGGTAGGCTCTATTTTTTTAAATAAATGAGCTAAATGTTGTAGTTAATCATGGATGTTGAAGCCAAGAAAAATCATTACCTCATATCATCTTTTTCAGACTACACAGGAGTAAACAATGCTTCCCAGAAAAGGAGCCAGAATTTAAGTATCTACCATCTATCAGTTATTATTACATGGTAAGGAACCATGTCTTATTTCACATCTGAGTTTGTATGGCATTATATTCCAGCTGTTATTTCTTGTTGCTTTTCTCTAAATTAAGAAGTCCTATTTACCCTTTGTGAAGGTACTTATTTATTCTAATCAAGTCAACCCAAATCTTTTGATAAACTGAGCAAGTTAATGATCTTTTAGTCTCTTTGTAAGACATCTCCTCCAGATATTTTCAATATATTCAGCTGAAATAATAGCATCTCTAAACTAAACTATATATCTGTTTTCTCTAACACTGCCCTTTTCAGTGTAAAATACTAATAGATATCTTGGCAACACAGTATTCCCCAAGGACAGATAACTATTTCTGCCCCAGACTATCAAAATTATCTGTTTAATATGAATCACTTGGATATTCTCCTTACATCGACTGTTATTTTATGTATCTGTTACACACATTCTATAATGTGATTACAAGTGAAAGAGAAACCAAATCAAGTTCACAGTCACTTTGCTGTCCTCATTGTATTCCAAAACTCTAAATGGAACAGAAGTAGTTATCTGTGATGACTATTATGACAAAAACAGTGAAGACTTAAGATATTGAGAATTTCAGGGTCTACGGTACTGAACTGGATACAAGAAATGCGTTTTCTTGGAAAGTAAAAATGAGGTTATGTTACTAAAACAGCCAATAAGATCTAGGTAAATACCTACAGGTCATAAGTCAGGTTAGATAGGCGAGGGACAGAGTGAGTCAGCATAAACTGACCTGAACTTTAAAACAAAATTCATGTTCAGAAATATTCATATTAGGATAGGATCAATTATCTCATCAATTACAGGCAGATCAAAAATCACACAAATCACAAATCTGACTGCACTTACAAAACAGCTGTCTTTGTGCATTTTCACTCATGTGGGCTGGCTGGTCAGGTTCGACATGCAGCAGCACATGGAACATTCAGTTGAGTAGAGAAAGTGGCTGTTGAGTAACAGCAAACCCAGGAACCTGCTAAAATATACAAAGCAAAAGCTAACAGCGAAGACCAGACAATGCAGAGCCCTAGCAGAAACAAACATTGGAAGAATCTTGTGCTTATTTAAAACCCCATTTTCTATAGGTCGCCCAAACCAAGAGGTACCATGCTCCGTCCTGTTTAGCAGGAGTAACCTCTCTTTTTTGACTGCTGGGGACTCATATAAGAAATAACACTCAAGGGAATCATAAGCATTTTGAAAACAATTCTAAGACCCGTTATCTTCCAAGATGGACACAGACAGACTGTAACTGAAAGCTTTTAAAGGTAAAGGGAACATGTTTCCAGAAAAATAAACATAGAAAGCCTTAAAAAGATATATTTCGCAAAATCCTGCCACGTTTTATGCAGAGAAGATTGAGATAACTTGATTTTTTAAATGAATAACTTCAAAGTATTCCTGAATTTAGGCCAGTATTTTAAGCAGCATGTGTTAATTAGTCAAAGATGACTGTATAAAGAAAGGGATCCCTCTGCTCACCTGCTGGTAATTACAAAGACCTTTCCAGCACGAAGGGCCTGTCTAACTTGGGGTTTGATCTCATAACACAGTGACAACTAGAGAAAATTTCCAAGACTGGACTGAAATTCTAACACTTTCAGACAAAATGGTGTTTTTCAGATAAATGGGTCTGCTGAAATAGCACTGTCAATTACAATTAAATTTTTAATTAATCAGATACATGTTTTAACCTGAAGCTATGTATGAAAATGACTGTGTGCTTACCTCGTCTCTGTATGTCACTAATTAAATTATTAAAGCCAGAAAGAGCTTGTGAATCTTCAACTTCCAGTCCATATCATACAGTCTGAGTGAATAAATTGTGAAATCATAACCAGCTGTACAGTAAGATGAAACACTTGGACTCAGAGCTTTCTATCTTATACAGCTATTCAAAAGTAAACAAGGATCAGGATCTTCCACATACTACACTGACAGCATTACTTCAAGCAATTTTTAACAGACTGCGATTAGCAGAACTCCTTGGAACAGCAGGCAACCACCCCTTTGTTCATCTTCATTATCCCCTTTCTGGAGAAAACTCCTACTCCAAATGTCAATTCCAAAAGCCAGAGAAGATGAAGTGGTCTCTGATGTCATGTCCCTAATTCATATGACTCTGGAGGCAACTACAGGATTAAGGAATGAAATCTTCCAGCAGTTATGAAGAAATTATCAAGTGCTCAGTCAGGAATCTGTAAAGGGAAGCTCTTTTTATTCCCAAGGACTCAAAGTAAGCTTATCACAGACTCAATCCGCATAAATCCTTACCTATGTGTGTCAGAGGCACCCAGAGTAAACAAATTATTTGCTCCAATGAGGCTAAAGGATCAGGCCCTCCTGGAGCTGTAGATCTGACAGCTGGTGACAAATCAAAGTCAAGACAATTCTTGAATACTCTCCAAACCTACCTTGAATAGGATTTTTTGTGCTACTCAGATGGAAATGAAATGGAATGATTTGCTATAACGTAAAATTCTTAAATTACAGGTTTTCAGCATCAGTCACAAGCTGCCTGGCACATGCATGCTACTGAGTATTATTTTTTAACAAAAAAAAAATCATTTTTAAATTATCTGCTCCTCTTAGATAATAAGGGCAGGATGGATCACGAAACTCAAGATATTCCAGAAAAAACTATTATTTTAGGTGCAAGGATCAGAGCTAACCTCTCTGGGCCAGAGAGGTACAAAGAGACGTAAATTAGCTGCCTTTCTCTTAGCCTCATTCTCTCCTTTGGGTAGATGGAATTTAATGATGGCATGACCAATGTAGTGACACACGTCTGAGGTTACAGCAACGCCACTGCCCGCTCCGTCTCTTGTCTTGTGCTTGACATTGGTGTTTCACGCCAGTCACCGAGGCCTCGGCCGTGTCTTCCCAGGGCCCCGTCAGGTTGCTCTGGCCGTGGCAGATGTCTCCAGGCACACAGAGCAAGGGGTCTTCCCTCATGCCCTTCTGGTAAACTGGAATAACGTTGGCTAGCTTCCAGTCAGTCAGCAGGGACCTCCCCAGACTCCCAAGACCTCTGGTACATGACTGAGAGGTGTCCTGCTGTAACATCTGCTCCCTCCTTCAGTACTCTGGGATGAATCCCCTCAGGTCCCATGGAGTTACAGACATTCAGCTGACACAAGTGCTCCCTTAAAACTTCAATGAAGTGCACTCCTGGCCTCCCCAGGGCCCAGGCGTGCCCCCCGGAACTTGTCTCTACTGCTACGGCTTGCCACCTGAACAGAAAATGCACCGAGCACCGATCGGGTAATGAGAATCACCTACAAAGCGAGCAGCCTTGTCCGGGCTGACGGCTGAAACGACCCGCCGAAGCCCCTTTCTGACATTTTCTTTTCTGGTGCAAACCAACACCTGAGAGAAGCTCCAGCCGGGGCGCAGCCCGGCGCCAACCGGGGACGGCACCCCACAGATCCTTAACCCTCACCCCGCTGCCTGCCTAGCGGGGTCCCCCGGGCTGGCCCCCTCTGCCTCACGCACACCCTCTGCCTCCCCCCCGCGGGGCCCAGGCAGGCAGGCAGGCAGGCAGGCAGGTGCCCGGG